TTTGAACCAAATGGTGGTTAACCCCACTAAGTGTTCAGTGATCACTTTTACTCGGAAGAAAGAACCAATCACATTTGAATACAAACTTATCGGCACTGTAATCGACCGTGTGAACCATGTGAAAGATCTGGGTGTTATTCTAGATTCTCAACTTACGTACAAGCAGCACATCTCGTACGTTGTCGACAAGGCGTCTAGGACATTGGGATTTATCTTCAGGATAGCAAAGAATTTCTCCGATATCTACTGTTTGAAGTCACTGTACTGTTCCTTGGTGCGATCCATTCTGGAATATTGTTCTACGGTCTGAAGTCCAAACTACAACAATGGTGCTGAGAGAGTTGAGTCCGTTCAACGCCGTTTTCTTCGATTCGCTCTGCGGAAGCTGCCTTGGAGAGACCCATTTCATCTGCCCAGCTATGAAAGTCGTTGCCAGCTGATTGATCTGGAGCCTCTCCGTACTAGAAGAGACACCTCTAGGGCCCTGTTCATTGCGGACACTTTACAAGGTAGAATTGATTGCAGTGCAATCTTGGGGCAAGTCAACATTAACGTCCAACCCCGTGCGCTACGTAACAACGTTATGCTGAGATTGCCACTTCAGCGCACAAACTATGGCATGAACGGTACAATAGGTGGGCTGCAACGAGTGTTCAATCGAGTCTCGGGCATCTTCGATTTCCATATGCCTCGACAGCTGCTACGAAGATACTTCTCATCGTTCTTTTCTGGCACAGTTAACCGTGAATGATTGTGTGTTTTATTTATGTATTTTATTCTTAGTTTTTATTTTTTTGATTTACCTATATAAGTTACTTAAATCATCATTGGGGCTTTACACAGCCTGTTGATGCAGACAAATAAATAAATAAATAAATAAATGAAGAAGACTGTATTGTGTGGGAACTCCTAGCCTAGTCAGTAAAGGCACGGTATTACCAAGCTGGAGGCGGCGGGTTCAATTCCCGGACTTTCGGGTTGTAAATTTTCCACACAATATACAAACTCATGCATTGATATTGGCATTAAAAGCTCTTTATTGATAACAGTGGAAGTGCATTTTAGAACACTAAGTTGAGAGCATGCAATAAGCTAATATGAGATTAGCAATAAGCTTGAAATTCAAAGACGAAAATGAGACTGTATTGTGTGGAATTAATTGAAATTATTGTGTAGCTTCTTTAGAGTAGAGTGTCCGTTCGACTTTGGCAACACGTCTCCAATGTATTCAATAAGATTGTGCTCTGCAGATTTCTTAGATTGTCCGGATAATTGTGAAGCTTTGAACGTAAATCAGGTTTGCAAGTTTTAAAATTAGTGGAATGTTAAGAAGTCAAAAAATCATGTGTTGCCAGTACTGTAACAATAAAAGGCCATTGATCTATTAATGGGACTTCTAAAAAAGGGTATTATTTTGTTTATGTTTTTAGAACATTAGAATAAATGCTATCAATTCAGGTTTTCAGTATGTTATTACGCAACATTTTAGCTTTATTTTTTTTTTAATTTTTAGCCCGAAATATTATTATTTCTTCACTATTGGCAGCCCTGCAACCAGACAGATTGCAGGCGATGTTTTTGTCGATTGCGGGACGGCGTTGTCAGCACTGAAACTTCGGAGAAAAGAGATAATTAGTGTTTTGAGTTCTTCATTTGCACTGAAACCACCGACGAACCGACGTGCCATCTCATAGAAGCTACATTCAAATTCTTCCCCTAGATGCCATATTTAAAAAAAATAGTTAAACACTACCGCCATCCACTCATCCGATCGCGTCATATCGTGAGTGTTTGTTATCGCGACATCAAAAATCGCGAAGGGACTGATATTGCGGAGTTCATTTTAATGGCACGAATTATTTATGAGAAAAAATATCACGATTTCTTTTCATCGTGTATATACAGAGAAGTGATGCCAACATTCCAGTTTAAACTGGATTTTATCAGTTTTTTTGGGACGCATCCAGGCAAACATTTAAAGTTTGAAATCTTCCAGTTCTTTTAGAATTCATCCAATTTTAGCCAGTTTTCCATTATTAATAGCCACATATTTTAAAGCGTGATTACCAGTACAGAATGATGAAGATGCTTGCACTTTAAACTCTTACATACATTGAAATTGAAATCTGGAAAACCATGGGCGGTCAATCATGCTCATGCTCATGCTCATGCTATTGGAATTGAAATCTAGAAATGCAGTATTTAATTCAAATAAAATATTGCAATTTAATTCTACAAAATTCGTGGCGATGCTACGATCAAGCTCGCTTGAGCTTAAGAACTTGGAACAAATCAGTAACTTTCAGAACAATGGAACGATCTCAAATATTTCCGTCAATTATGTACCTATATTGTTTTTCTACCAGTATTATTTCAAATTAGCGGGGCTTGTTATGCCTTCGCAATCTTATCTTGTTAATTTATTCAATGAAATTGAAGTAACATTTTAGCTGGTTCTTATGCAAGGCGTCTACTTATTTTGCTAAATGACCTTTCCTGAGATTTCCAGGTTTTTCCAGAACTTTTCAGATAATTTCCACGTTTATAAGAAAGCTGATTTCTAATTGCGTTCGTTAAAAAACATGTTATTTTTCCAACAACTTTATTTCCACAAACGATTTCAAGGGGTCTGATGGAATGTCATTATCGGTGTCATTCCTTAATTTTTTTTGCTAAGGAATCCAATTTTTACTGACAAAGGGGCGCGCCTTTGGAGGGTGTTTCAACACTCCGAAGGGTATAAATAGCGGGACCTTTCAATTAGAGTCGAACCTTGCGATCAATTCAAGAACACCAGAACAGTAAAAAAATCGAATATTTCATCATTCCTCAATAGTGATGGCTAATACGACATGCACTAAACTAAGGACACGGGATATAGTACAATAGATCAAATTACTGGTCGCAGTAGTTTTATGTCCCGAACAGAGGAAAAAATATATATAATTCTGGAATGTCCTAAGGAATTCTGAGTTGAATTTAAATGAATTTCTGGGAAGAAGAACGAAAATTCTGAAATGGATTCCTAAGTAATTCATAAAATGATTTCATAAAGATTGTGAAAAGAACCTGATAGAGAACTGCTACGTGACAGAAATTTTGACGTACACTTCGTCTAACGGGAAGGTACAAGGGGCAAATCGGAAATCTATAATTGCGGCCGTCACAAAAAGGTGTTACGATTTGAATGCTTGAAGCGTTGTCATTTATAGATGAAATTAAAATCCAAATACACCAATCGGTCGGAAATAACTCTACAAATTTGATGAAATAAATACTTTTACAATTTTCCATAAAACAAACGTTTGAAAAATTTAGCGATAAAAAGTGACAATTTTATCATAAAAAAAAAAACGTTTTCCCTAATCCAGTCGTCATGATGCTTGATGCTTGAACCTGTACAATTAAAAAATAATGCTGCTGTCGTTGCTCCTCTCCAAAATAGATCTCTTTCTCTCTTCTCCACCGAGGGGGACGACTCTATCTACCATGCAAAAAAGATTGTGTTTTGCTGTGGCTAGCTGCGCGCACGCTGAGTAGATAGAAAGAAGATTGATGACGATTCTGAAGATTTCCTGCAAAAAATTGATGAGCGATGCAAGTAGATGTGACAAATGAAAGAAGATTGTTCGAAGATTGATTCGCTAGTGTGAGATTTGTTGACCATCTAAACTTGAGATTTAGATGTGTCGCCCCCCTCGTTCTCCACCAAGTAAAAGTTAGTGACACTCCGTCTAAAATACAACAACATTTTCGCACTCTCCGCTCAGAAAAATACAATAATTACTTTCACATTTATACCGACGGATCTGTATCTAATGATGATGATGGTTCGATCTCTTCCCTCTACAGAGCTGGATGAGTTATCTCTAAGATAATTAAATATAAACATTTTAACCTGATTTGCTAACAAAATCAAATGACAAGGTCGGCTACGGTATCACTAGCGAATCAAACAACATAAGTTCCTCCCTCCCTTCATTCTGTTCCAAGTTTAGTGCTGAAACTTACGCTCTCATGAGAGCTTTCAACTTGAATTCCCCCCGATCCGATAAACCAATTGTCATCTTTAGCGACTCGGTCTTTAGTTGTCTTCGCGAGCTCCAATTCCACAAAACACCCTTGGCTCATAACAGCAGAAATATATTCGCTAACCAATAATGTCTCTTTCTGCTGGCTACCAGGTCACCCTGGTATCCTCGGAAATGAGTAGGCAGACAGACTGGAATGTTTTAAATTCTGGTCTTCAGATGCTACAATCACCGGTCAGCGCTCGTATTTTTTATCATTTACCGTGGAGACGTAATTTATGATCAGCCAGTCCCTTTCAAATTATCTCATTATTTATGAACGGCCCTTAAATTTGAAATAACGTTTCGCATTCATCTAGTGATGTCCGATTTTTTCCGTCTCCGTCGATCTTGTTTTCCGTACTGAGTACCAATGCTACCAACGTCAGGGAGGCAGCTCACACACCTGAACCTACCTATCGACCCATCAAGTCATATACCGAGGACCAACGGTTTTTCTTCCCTTCCGAAGGAAGGTGTGATCAGAGAATGTATGCCTCAGAAAATCCCAACGGCGCCGACTGGGAATGTCAAGTAAGCATTAACCTCTCCATAGGATCATCTCCCATAGTTTCAAACATGTTCTGCAGTATCATTGGAGTAAAAATAACAGCACAACGATCAATAAATAACCGAATAGTTATTAATCATCGAGTACTAACATAATATGGGACAACAAATTTCATAAAAATCGGAGAAGGTCGATTCAAAAATTCAACTTTTTTACCGCCAATTTGACCTTTGACCATTTGTCCTTCCGACTTTCGTCCTTCAACGTTTTGTCATTCAACCATCTGTCTTTCGACGTTTTGTCATACAATCGGTAATGTGGTATAAAATAACCCTAGAACAAATAAATTCCGTCGCTTCGGCCTAGATACAACAATCGATAACAAGAAACTCCTTTTACGGATATCTTACCAAAACAATGAACCTCCGTAGATTAAAATTTGAGTTTATTCACTATCTCGTAATCCTGGTTATCAATACTCATATATGAAGACAGCACAAATTCCACTGCCCTAAATCCTCTCTATCAGCAGTGGCACCCCGCCCAGCGGTGCCGGAATGCCCGACTTTGGATCCACCACCAAACGAGACGGCGTATTATCGCTGGGTCTCACTCGAAACTGCCGCAGCACCGTTATCAGTCCCACTCGTGTTTGCATCAGCCCAAATCTCATTCCAATACAGTTACGTGGACCTTCACCGAACGGTAAAAATACGAACGGGTGCCGACTGGTGCGGTTTTCGGCATTGAAGCGCTCCGGATCGAAACGCTCCGGTTCCGGGTAGTACTCCGGATCGTGGTGAATAGCGAAGGTGGGGATGAACACCAGTGTTCCTTCGGGAATCTTCAGATCCGAGTCAGAGATTTGATAGTTTTTGGACGCGGTACGCAGCAGCGCATCCACCGGTGGGTACTTGCGAAGGGTTTCTGAAAAATTCGAACGATTTGAGTTTGGGTTGATTAGTGGGAGAATTGTTTTAAACTTACCATCGATCACCATGTTCAAATACTCAACTGAAGACACCGACTCGTACGTCAATGGGCCATCTCCACAAGCTTTAGAAATTTCACCCCGCAGCTTTTCCTGAATATCCGGATTCATTGCCAGCTCGAATAAACAATTAACCATAGTTGTCGACGAGGTCTCGAATCCACCAAGAAAAAAGATAAACGATTGTGCCGTAATCTCATTCAGCGTCAGCCTCTCCTCCAGGTTCTCGCTGTTCTTCATCTGAATCAACAGATTCATGAAATCATTCCGCTGGACGTGATTCCTCTCCCTATGCTCAATCGTTTCCCGTACCATTTTCGTGAAGAACTGTTCCACTTCCGCTGGTGTAGCTTTGAGCTTCAATGCGGTAGCTACACCCTTGAAAGTCATCAGTACGATCATCCACAGAATCTGCCCCACGGATTGATCAAAAATCTTACGGGAGACTTCGCGGAACTGGCAGTGCGCGGCTCGCAAACTATTGCACTCGATTCCGAAGGCACACGAACCGATGACATCGGTTGTGAACCCGGCCAAAACGTTCTTCATTTCCTGTTCCACCGCTCCGTTTGCGGTATTCTCCAGCAGGAATTCCTTCAGGTCGTCCGCCACCCTGAGGATCGTGCCAAACATCATCTTCATCTTACCGGAAGTGAACGTCGGCGATAGCTTTGCCCTCAGTTGGCGCCATGCTTGCCCTTCCAAGGCAAATAAATGCCCTGACATGGGATCCGCTTCCGCATTATTGTAGATTCCTCGATCGTGAAAAAAGTTGAAATCCTTCACCAGAATCGTCTTGATCAAGTCTGGATCGACGACGATTGCTGATCGAATGATGAACAGAATCGTTCCACCGATCGACAGCTTCCGGGCTTTGAACTCTCGATACAGTCGCTGGTTAGTGTCCTGCATGTGCTCGGTTTGATTGCTATTCTTGTAGTCGCCATAAACCAGCTGGGCCCGTCCGGTACAAGGAAAGTTACGGTCCTTCCAGAAACTGCGCCGTTTGTCCAGGAACATGAACAGATAAGCGGCTAAGGCGAGCACCAGAGTGATGCCCACCGCTAGATAGAATTTTAATAGCATTCTGCTGGCCGCGGTACGGTCGGTTAATCGTGTTTGACTGAATGGCTAGTGGATGTGCACCGATGTCGACGTTCGTAGTGCTTTGCGTTATCTCGCACTAGGAATACGAGAGACGGAGAGTGAGAGAGTTTCGTAAATTCTCTCGAATCAAACGTGGGGCGCGGCGCGATGTTGATTGTATACAAGCTCAAGTTCAAGGTCGTTTCTCTGGTAATAACAATTCAGATTGGGTGCGTTGATTGATTAATCTAAATACTTAGTGCTCACTGAGAAATTTATATAGAACAATTCATGTGACTGCCCTAAATAGAAACTGTATCAACTTGATCGATATTACTCAAATTATATCGTATCGCAAGTAATTGCCACCCTCCGGTGATAACACGAACGACTTCACATCGAAAACCAACGACTCGGGTGTCTTCGGTGAAGGGGAAAACCTAAAGTTGCGCAGCACCGTGATCAATCCAATTTTGGTCTGCATAATGCCGAACCGAAGGCCTATGCAATTGCGGGGACCTTCCCCAAAGGGAAGAAACACGTAAGGATGACGTGATTGGACCGCCTCCGGAAGGAATCGATCCGGATCGAAAACTTCCGGTTCCGGGTAGAACTCCGGATCGTGATGCAATGCGTACACGGGAATCGCAGTCATGGTATCCTTCGGAAGGACGTGGCTCGTTCCCGGCACCGTGTAGTCCGAGGTTGGCACGCGGGACAGACTTTCAATAGGTGGATACTTCCTTAGGGTTTCTGAAAATAAGACGAAATTGTGAGTACTATGCCAGCAACACAATCCGAAGGTCTTACCGTTTATAACATTATCCAAATATGGAAGTCCCATCACCATTTCGTACGTTACTCGCCCACCATTTGCAGCAACCGCCTCCTGGATGTCTTCCCTCAAACGATCCTGGATGTCCACATTTTTCGCAAGCTCATAAAGACAGAAGTTCATCGTCGTCGACGATGTCTCATAGCCAGCAATGAAAAACACAAAACACTGCGCAGCCAGTTCATCCATCGTCAAACCCCTTTTGCCAAGCTCCTCTTTTTCTTCTACCATGTCCTCCAACCGGCCCTTATTCTTAAGCTGCAGAAGCAAGTTCATAAAATCATTCCTCTTCACATTGTTCTTCTCCCGGAACTCCACCGTCTCCCGAATCAATCCCATGAAGAACTTCTCCACTCCCGGATCGGTCAACTTAATTCCCAAAGTTCTGCTCAAATCCTTGAACAGTGACGCAAATATAAACTTCACGATCGAAAACAAGTTCTGCTCGAAAACCTTCTTTCCATACTTCAAAAAGTCCGAATCTGGATTTTTCATCGTATTGCACTCGATTCCAAAGGCACACGTCCCTATGACATCGGTTGTAAATCGCGCCAGCACTTCCTTCATCTCCACCACCGGTTCCCGCTCGTGATTCTGCACCATATACTGCCGCAGCTCTTCCGCCACATCCAAAATCGTTCCGAACATGACCTTCATTCGTCCGGACGTGAACGTCGGCGTCAGCATCTGCCTCAGTACCCTCCACTGCAATCCCTCCAGCAGAAACAACTGTCCCGACAGTGGATCATCTTTTGGATTGTTGAAAATCCCACGATCATGGAAAACGTTGAAATCGCGCACCAGAATGGTCTTGACCAATTCCGGATCGACAACCATCACCGCCGGTACGGCAAAGAAGCTGAACCCACCGAATGGCTCCCCGCGGGACTTGAAGTGCTGGTACAGTCCCTGGTTCACGTAGGCGGCATGCGTGTCGGTGACTTGACCTTTGACGTGACCGAACAAAAATTTCGGATTTGGAGCACACGGGATACCACGATCGGTCCAAAAGCGATGCCGACTTCGGATGTAGAGGACGGCGGCCGTCAGCAGCAGGACGATGCCCGCGAACACAAAGCTTAACATTTTACAACGACGCCTCTGCTCGTAGTGAGCGAATCGAATTGACTAACGGCGTTGTTTGCTTCGCTGATTAGGTCCCACCCAACAGCGTACACAGCTACGTCATTGGCGGGAGTTGTTTGTGGGAGAAGATACTAGTGGTGGTATCTAATCTGTTCAGCGGGTGGTCAAGCACCACCACTACAACCAGCATTCGGGGCACTGAGCAGAGCGATCGAATTAAATATGATGTCAGGTTGTACAATCCCGAATAAAAAATTCGCATAATCTGGCTGATGAAAGGCAACAACATGTGCAAAGTTCGGTGTAACTTTTGAATACTTTAACACTCGATGAGTTGATGTAGTATGTGACCAGTGCTAAATATCTTTACAAGATTATATAGAAAGTGGTTGATTTGTAATAATTTCCTCAATATTGCGATGTTTTTTTTTCGGGCACTCATTTATTTGATTGGCCTTTTTGGTAATGGTTTCCGTTCTGAATATTATTTAATAGGCGCTTTTGTTATCTGGCACACCCGCATGAAGAACTTCTACAATAAACAATAATATTACGTAATTTACAAAGGGGAAATGGCTCTCATGTTGGTCAATGGATCAACAAATTGAGTCCATCGATAAGAATATCAAATTCTTTAAATTTTCTCAGAACAATGCGTCAGCTTGCACAAGACAAATGAATATTTTTGGTTGCTAGGGAAAAATTGTAGAAAAACACTTTCCTTCGAAATGTATGTACGGGCCCAATATAAGGAACACTTGGGCCGACATTAGGTGCATTAACCCTACCTAATACTTCAGCGGTCGAACGCATTTTTTTAATTGTTTTCAGCTTCCATATAATTTGAATCTGCGGCGTGAGTCAATTCTATTATGATAATAACACAGTGTTACACGACAAAATCAATCGGCTCATGGGCCAAATACATCCAAAGCCAATAAAATAGCAGACTCAAGAGTAACTTGTAATATTTTTGCGTAAAAGCCTAATTCCAATGTTCTTTAAAAAAAATGATTATGATTTTCAAGAGGTTTGCTAATAAAATGAACTTCAGCAGCGTTTCTCAATCTATCTAACTGATGACCCCTCCGGTTTCATTATTGTATTATTAGTTTTGTTAGTCATTTTCACAATGTTGATTAAATTGAAAAGCTAATTTGAAGTTTTGAAAGGAATTCTAAGCCGTGTTTACGTTTCACAGCCATTTTTTTTTTCAATTGAAATATTTTAATTAATTTAAACCATAACAATGTTCCCCCTTGTATAACTATAAATAACTTCAACTATAAAAGATTAAAAGAATTAAAAAAAGTAACACTATACTAAAAACGCCTTTAGAGAAGTTTCTTCAAATTTCAACCCTATAATAAAACCCTATAAAACCCTATATCAATGTATCAAAAACAACAAGTTTTCAATATAATTCCTGTATTTCCACCAGCTCATAATACAAGGCTGAATTTTTATATGCGGGTAAAATGAACATACAGTGGGGGTAATATGAACAGATGCTGGAGGTAAAACTGAACATGTAGTGGGGGCATAATGAACATACAGAGGGAGTAATTTGCTCCAGTGCGGGGGGTGTGGGGGGGGGGGGAAATTAACATTATTTTATATAGTTATCTTTCACCGATTACGTAAACTGTAAATCTACCATCACTTGAATCAGAAAAAGAATCACCACACAATTCGCATAAGGTATCTTCGCAACGTTCATCCGATATTTGAAATTTAACTCGTTTTTTATGTAGTTTTCGCCCTTTCTTGATCAACTTCATGGTTTTTATTGCCAGTCAACATCTTGCTCTCTTGCCGTGCGGATCTATTTGCTTTTTGCTTAAGGAAGTGTTACTACTACCTAAAGCTACAACAAATTTAAACAGCACTTTTCAGTGCTCAACCTGTAAAAATTTTCAACCTTGTTCAACTCCTCTCATTCCTCTTCGATCCTTGTTTGGACCCTACCCGAGGTAATCCTTCTTGGATATCGATTTGGAAAATTCCTCTTCGATCCTTCAGATTCTTATAGTAATCTGCTTGGAAGTCGATTTGGATAAAAATTTACTGCCGCCATGGCGCCTAAACGCAAAAGAAAGGGGCAAACTCTTGATCCCCCTTCTGATGAAATTAATTTGAGTAATCAATTTGATTTGCTGACGGATGATGAGATTGCTCCATCATCCAAGAAAAATTCTAGTAAACTTTCCCGGCTTAATGCCAAGAAGGAAAAGATTCCCCCTATTGTGATAACCACTTCCGATTTCCATGCTCTTCGCATGGAACTTTTGAATTTCGTGAAAGTTAAGTTTTCACTACAAATTGGACGTCGGGGTGAATGCCGTGTATTGGCTGAAACCTTGGACGGATTTAAATATCTTCTCAAGTATCTTACTGAGAAGAAGCACAATTTTTTTACTTACGACACCAAAACTGAACGTGTGTTCAGGGTTGTCATGAAAGGACTGCCCAGTGGTGAATCCCTGGATCAGATCAAAGATGAACTGGCAAAATTACTTGGAGTTGTGCCACTCCAAGTAATCAAAATGAAAATGAAATCCCGTCCTGGCGATTCGCGCAACGGGATTTCTAATGATTTTTATTTAGTTCACTTCAAGTCTAGTGAACTAAACAACCTTAAGGCCTTAGAAAAAGCTAGCCTTATGCTCCATGTCCGAGTGAAGTGGGAACACTTCAGGAAGACTGGAGGAAATTTCCAAAACCTCACTCAGTGCCGTAAGTGCCAGGGATGGGGTCACGGAACTAAAAATTGCTACATGCCTGCTAAATGCATGAATTGTGGTGATTCCTCTCACGCAAAGGACGACTGTCCTGTGAAGGAAGATCCTAGGAAATTTAAATGTTCAAATTGTGGTGAAAATCACAAATCCAATTTTTGGGAATGTAAGACTGGCAAAGCGATCCTACAATCTCGTTCTAACCGTCAGGTAGGAAACGCTCCACGTTTCCGACCAGGTACAAATTCCTCTGCTGTTAACAACGGTCAGCGAGGAACAAATTCTACATTCGTACCCGTAGGTACAAATATCACCCCTGCTTCAAATGTTTCATCTGTACCTACTCCCCTCGCTGCTAACAATGTTCACCGAGTTAATGGAGCTACCTTTGCTGCTATTGCAGCGGGTAGAAATCAAAATACTAACCAACGTTCTAACGGAAATTTTGACAATTTTGACTTAGGAAGCTTTACTGCCCCTAAAATGGAATTTTTACATAAATCATTAATTGACATGATTTCTGATATGCTTAAATCTAACTCCATGTTTGATGCTATTCAAACTGGAGTAAAATTTGCAAATAATATTGTCATGACTTTAAAATTCAGTAATGGATTTTAAAGCATTAAATATTGTAAATTGCAATGCTCGATCTCTTAAAGATAATGAAGACGAGCTATTTAATTTTTTGAGAGTTCATAACGTGCATATTGCCGTTATAACTGAAACGTTCCTTAAACCTGCCCATAAGGTTAAGAAGGACGCAAATTACTTGATTTATAGAAATGATCGTCTTGATGGACCCTGTGGTGGCGTTGCCATCATTATTCATAGACGAATCAAACATAAAATTCTTTCTTCATTTGAAACCAAAGTTTTTGAAACTTTGGGAGTTTCTGTTGAAACAAAATTTGAACAACTTACGTTTATAGCTGCCTATTTGCCATTCCAATGCGTAGGCCAGCAAAAGAATTTTCTCAAGGGTGACCTCCAGAAACTTACCCGTCATAGGTCTAAATTCTTCATTATTGGTGATTTTAATGCAAAACATCGCTCATGGAATAATGCTCAAAGCAATTCCAATGGTAATATTCTGTTTGATGATTGTTCTGCAGGTTATTACACTATTCAATATCCAAACAGCCCAACATGCTTTTCTTCTGCAAGAAATCCCTCCACTATTGATTTGGTCTTAACTGATTCATGTCAACTTTGTAGCCAATTGGTTACCCATGCTGACTTCGGTTCTGATCACCTTCCAGTAACTTTTGAAATATCCCATGAAATAATTTGTAATCCCAACAGCTCTACTTTCAATTACCATAGAGCTGATTGGGAGCAGTATCGAACATTTATGGAATATAACTTCGATCCAAACATTCCTTTGCAAACCAAAGATGAAATTAATTATGCTCTTGAATCTCTGACTACTTCTATAGTTGCAGCAAGAGCAGCCTCAGTACCAAAATGCGAGGTTAAATTCGATTCAATTATAATAGACGACGATCTTCAGCTCTTGATCCATCTTAAAAATGTCCGTAGGAGGCAATATCAAAGAACACGCGATCCTGCCATGAAGGTTATCTGGCGGGATTTGCAAAAACAAATTAAAAAACGATTCTCTGCCCTGAGGAACAAAACTTTTGAAAATAATATTTCTTAATTAGACCCGAGTTCCAAACCCTTTTGGAAACTCACAAATTTTTTGAAAAAAACCTCAAAAGCCTATTCCAGCGCTTAAAGAAGGTGGTAAAATTTTGATCACAAATTTGGAAAAAGCTCAGAAACTTGCTAAGCAATTCGAGAGTTCCCATAATTTCAGTTTGGGTCTTACTAGTCCTATTGAGAATCAGGTTGCTCGGGATTTTCTGAATATTTTGTCTCGGGAAAATATTTTTGATGATTCCTGGGGGACTGATTTGGACGAAGTAAGGTCTATAACTAAAAAGTTTCAAAATATGAAAGCTCCAGGTGATGATGGAATTTTCTATATCCTCATCAAAAAACTCCCAGAGAGTACCTTGTCTTTCTTGGTAAAATTATTTAACAGATGTTTCCATTTGGCATACTTTCCTGATAAATGGAAAAATGCAAAAGTTGTTCCAATTTTGAAGCCGGATAAAAATCCAGCTGAAGCTTCTAGCTACCGCCCAATAAGTTTGCTTTCTTCAATAAGTAAACTTTTTGAAAAGATAATTTTGAATAGAATGATGCTTCACATAAATACGAACTCAATTTTTGCAGATGAGCAGTTTGGATTTCGCCATGGGCATTCAACTACTCAT